TGAACTGCAGGCTCTCCATGATAATCACACTTGGGATTTGGTACCTCTTCCCAAGGATAAAATTCCTATTGGATGTAAGTGGATATATAAAGTCAAGATAAAGGCTAATGGTGATGTTAAGAGGTTTAAAGCTAGACTGGTTGCAAAAGGATATACTCAAAAGGAGGGTCTTGATTTTCATGAAACCTTTTCTCCAGTGGTTAAAATAGCTACTGTTCGAACTGTTCTTTCTTTAGTTGCACAATGCAATTGGTCTGTCCATCAGTTGGATGTTTATAATGCCTTCTGGCAAGGTGATCTTCATGATGAAGTATACATGCAATTACCAGAGGGTTTCGACAGTCAGGGGGAGTCTGGACTTGTATGCAGACTTGTCAAATCCCTCTATGGACTTAAACAAGCAAGCAAACAGTGGAACTTGAAGCTAAGTGAAGCACTGTTAGAATCTGGTTTTATTCAAAGCAGTTTAGACCATTCATTATTCATTAAAAGAACAGGTTCAGACATAGTGGTGATCCTAGTGTATGTTGATGATATGTTAGTAACAGGAAGCAGTCTGAGTCTTATAGAACATACAAAAGCTGTTTTGCACAAGGCATTCAAGATCAAGGATCTTGGTGAATTAAAATTTTTTCTTGGAATGGAATTCAGCAGATCAGCAAAAGTGTATATTGATGAATCAGAGAAAGTATGCTTTGAAGATCATTTCAGATTTAGGATTAGGAGGAGCTAAACTAGCTTGGACTCCTCTTGAAGCCAAAGTGAAACTGACAACTCAAGAATTAGATTGTGTCAAGGGAGAGCAGAATGATGAACCTTTTGAAGATAGAGAATTGTATCAAAGGTTGGTGGGAAAGATGTTATATTTGACAATGACAAGGCTGGATATTGCTTATTCAGTTCAAAAACTCAGCCAATTCTTACAAAATCCAAAGAAGTCACATTGGGAAGCAGTTTTGAGAGTGATGAGATACATTAAAAGAGAACCAGGACTTGGAATTTTATTGAGCAGCAAAAGCTCAAACAAACTAAGTGTGCATTGTGATGCAGACTGGGCATCATGTCCAAATACAAGAAGATCAGTATCAGGATTCATAGTTAAACATGGTGAGACATTGTTATCATGGAAATCAAAGAAGCAAAATGTAGTTTCTAGAAGCTCAGCAGAGGCTGAATATAGAAGTATGAAAAATGCAGTTTCAGAACTAGTATAGATAATTGCTTTATTAAAGGAACTGGGAAAAGAGATGGAACAACCAGCTATGGTGTATAGTGACAGTAAAGCAGCATTGCAAATAGCAGCCAACCCAGTGTTCCATGAAAGAACAAAGCATATTGAAATCGATTGCCATTTTATAAGACAGAAAATTCAAGAAGGTGTTATGAAGACAGAACATGTGGGTTCTAAGGAACAACTTGCAGATATTCTAACTAAGGGGCTGCATAGATTACAACATGAATGTTTAGTAAGCAAGCTTGGTGTGCTGAATGTATTTACACCCACCAGCTTGAGGGGGAGTAATGAAATAGGGATTACTTGATAATGTAAAGTTAGTTAAGGGTAGTTAAGGAATTTTAGGCAAAGTGGTTAAGTTGGTTAGAGATGAACAATGTATATATATATCACTGTTCCATTGTATTCTGTTAGCAAGCATTTTTCTCATTGTATTGAAAAAAGATTCTTCTTCTTTCTTCTTCTTCTTCTCAAGGTGCTCATCAATGGAGTCTTAGATTGAGCAATTATTCTGAATTTAACAATTGCATGATTGTGTGTTTTCCATTCCGAGCAATTATACAAACACTAATATTCTATGTCTAATTCCTCATAGTCATGTCTTCTCGGGGTGTATCAGGTATGAACAATTTTTTTTAAAAAATTATTAGTGTTTGAGTGGTTAAAATTTTGAAAAATATTTTATTCGGGAAATAAGGTCGAGGAAAATGATATTCCTATTAAAAGAAAAAAATTTCACAAATAACATATTCTACATTAGTGATTCATTTTCATCCTTCAACACAACTTATCTTCATCTCGCCTTCATAGGCACTATCCTATACTCTCTTTCTCTCTCTCCCACACCTTATTTCATACTTCATTAGATTAAGTGAACTTGTCCGCACTTTATGCGATTGAAAAGAAGAAATTGTCCATACCGAACACACCGTGAGAAGGCATATCTATGAAAAAATTGCATAACTAATTCTCAATAAATTAGAGTATCTACGTATAAAAAAAATTTAGAAAAAAATATATAAGAAAGTATCCATATAAAATTAAAAGCAAAAATAAGTTCAAACAATTGCATAATTTTTTTGCATATTACAGCTTTCAAAGAACAAATCTATTATAAAATCAACATTCATTCTACGTGTGGATAAAATTATAATACGTGCATGTTCGTTAGTATAAAGGGTATATATGCTCTAATTTTTGGACGGCAAGGACACTAATATTCCTAAAATATGATGAAGGGTATATACATACCATTTACGATAGTTCGAGAGTATATCAGTCCTTTTTTCCATTCTAAAAAATTGTGTGTGAGAAAGAGAGAGATTAGACTACTCCAAATTTAATATATTTTTTATTCCTTCGTAAAAGAAATGAAAGATTGGAGTGATAAATTTAGACTTTTAAATTGTGTAATAGCGAATATAAATAAGTGGAGTAGTAAATTTTGAAACATTTAAATTTTTATACTAAAGAATAGAAATGGATGACGGAGTAGTAATTGAATTCATTGTATAATACTAATAATTTATTATTATTATTATTATTATTATTATTATTATTAAATAAGTAATTAGAAACGTAGCGTAGATTTGTAAATTGCTTAAAAGGAAAGAAAAACATAAATAAAATTATTGATCATAAAGAAATATTGCATCACTTTTTTAATATCGAATTCCGTTCTAATACTTAGCTTTATATAAAATAAAAAGAATAGACAAATAAAAAGTCTAAAAAGAAGAAAAAAATAAATATGATTTAATCAAAGAAATGCCAAGACGTACCACATCACTTTTTTATATGTAACTTTACTTGATTTACTCTATATTTAATAAAATCTATACAAAACAAATGAAAAAAGAATACAATAAATTAGAGCTATAGTATAAATGATAATCAAATAGTCAGTCAAAAAAGAAATAAAAAGATAAATTTAACTTTACTTGATTTACTCTATATTTAATAAAATCTATATAAAACAAATGAAAAAAGAATACAATAAATTAGAGCTATAGTAAAAATATAATCAAATAATAAGTCAAAAAAGAAGAAAAAAGATAGATTTGATTCTTAATCAAAGAGACATGTATTAGATTTGATTCTTAATCAAAGAGACATCCCAATACATGTCATATCACTCATATTACCCCTTCTATATCTAGTTTACTTGATTTACTCTACATTAAAGTTATGGAGTTCTCATTCTTAATCAAAGAGACATTTCAATAATTGGATTAAAGTACTCTCTCCCTCTTCGGGGGTGGAGCTTTGCTTTCTATGTTGCTTTTCCTTGTCATTAACTTTTATATATTCATAGTAGGATTAAAATATTCTTTCTCAAAATGATATTTCTATTAAAGTAGAAAAAAAAATTCACAAATAACGTATCCTACATTAATTGTGTCTTTTCCATCCTTCAACATAGTTATCTTAATCACACCTTCATAGTTACCTTCCTATACTCTCTCTCACACACACATACACCTTATTTCATACTCTAATATTTATCTAGATTATTAGTAAACTTGTTCACACTTCGCGTGATTGAAAAAAAATTGTACATACCGACCACACCCTGAGATGACAGATTTATAAAAAAAATTAATTTTTTCACCAAACTAAGTCATTATATAAAATAATTTACCAAAATAATATATATTTATTTTAAATTTTACAAAATTAGTATCAACGTATTTCACAGTAACGTTTTAGGGTATATTTCATTTTTAAAAAACTGACGGCGTTAGGTTGTTATACGTTACTCATAGTAACGTTTTACTCCTAAAACATTTTTTTGAGTAATGTTTTACTTCTAAAACGTTACTCACAATAACGTTTAGAGTAAAACGTTACTATGAGTAACGTACATCAATCTAACGCCGTCAGCTTTTAAAAAATAAAATATACTCTAAAATGTTACTGTGAAATACATTTATACTAGTTTTGTAACATTTTTAAAAACATATTATTTTAATAAATTGCTTTATATAATGGCTTGATTTTTTCAGTTATTCTAAAAAAAATTGCTTAACTTTGAAAGATTGGGAAAAAGGGGTGCAAAGATAGAAACATTGGGGAAAAAAGTGCAAAGATAAAATAGTAAATGGGTTTTCGCTAAGAAAAAAATATGCGGATGAAGAAATAATTAAAATTTGAAAAAAAGAAAGTATGTGAAAGAGAAAGCGTAACGAGAAAAATGACATACAAAAACACTTATATAAAAAAAAATGGTGCCCTCCCATAACTATTATTAATCATGTCTCAATCACTATGAAATTTTCACTTATTATAAAACAAGAATACAATACTTAGTAAAGGACTAGAAGCCATAAACCAAAGAGTTTGAATAAATCAACCAATGATAGAGAAAAGAAATATAACAAAACTTGGAGTAGCCCACATAGGCATCCACTTGACTTCACTTGTCTATAACAAAATGTGAAAGAGAGACTTGTGTGAACATTTTTCAACATAAAAGTTGTGGAAAAAAATTGAAAAAAGAGAGAGAAACTCTATTTAATTTGATGAAAATGACAATTTAAATTTTTTATTTTCTCCGTTTTAGTTTATCTGATTTTAATTCAAACACAAAGTTATAAAATTATTTTAATTTTTTTTGTTATGATTATGACTAAAATATGTAGAATGATTTAAAATGTTCATTAATTTTATAATTTTAGCTAGAACAAAAGAGTTATCAAAAATAAATTTTGAATGAAAAAAAAAAAAAAAACTAAAGCAATGAAAGAAACTTTTTCTTTGTCTACGAGGATATTCTAAAATGCCCACAAGACATAAATCATCCCCAAAAATCACGTGAATTGTCTTAAATATCCCCTTTTAAGCTTTCGTTCTATAAGTAAAGGGTTTTGAGCCTTGTCTTCTTTTATCTTAGAGTTGAAGGAAGAATATGATGAAAGGCACATCAAGTGATCATCAACCGACAATGGAAATGGATGTTCAAAAGAGTAAACTCTCTTTCATTTCTATCTAGTTTTCAATTTTTTTTCTAACTAGAAAAAAGTATGGTGACTTTCTATTTTCTCGTGTAATTATGAAATCCAATGGAAGTTTGTCAATTATTTGTGGTTAAAAAACAAAAGATGATTCAAATATTGGTTGTTGTTTTGATGGTAGAGTACTTATGTTGTGTTTTATTATAGATCCATGGTCAGGAGATCGAACGATGCCAATTATTATTCAAGATGACACTTACAGAGACGTGATCAATTGGAAGTCATTACCAAAATCATTTCTACCAAGTAGTCTAGATCTCACGGAAGAAGATACTAGTATATGTTCGAAATCAAAAGTTTTTCTCCTAATGGTTGAACCAGATGACAGTATAGCTGCAGTCAAAGCGTATATTCAGGAGGAAAAGGGGATTTCTTTTAAAAAACAAAAGTTGTTGAATGAAGATGGGGGAGTTATGAGAGATGCACAGACGTTAGAGTCTGCGGGAATCAATAAAGGATCTACCTTAATTCTTCGATATGCACCAATAACACAAATCTATGTGTTAACGCTTACTAATCGCAGGTTTAAGTTAATGGTTGAGAGTGATGACACCATTGCAGATGTTAAAGCTGCCATTCAGGAAAAAGAAGGTATCCGATTTCATAAACAGAGACTAATCTATAATGGACGACAACTCGAAGATGATACATCTCTCGTAGACTATGGAATTCAATATAACAGTCAACTGACACTTGTCTTGAGATTGTGCGGTTGTTGAATATTATGGTTGCTTTCTAATTGCATAATCTATATGCAAATTCACTTGTTATTTCCGTTGGTTTAGATATATCTTTTATGATCCATGTAAAATACTGTTATTTTCCCTTTTGACTCTATTATTTTGTATTTTTGCTCCAGTTTAAATGGTGTTATATATCCTTGAATGGAGGCGAGGATCAATGGCTTGATACATTATTGGAGATTTACTTTATGGTGTGTTTGATATGAAAGGGAAAAAATGTCTGATGGAAAATGTATTTTTAGAAAATAAGTGGATTTTTTATTTATGTTTTCATGCTCGATTTGTGAGGATCAATGACTTGATATTTTCTCATGTTTGGTTTGTAAATCACCTAAAACTTCTACGGTTTGACATGGACATGTTAAAATGGACATAAAATTTTACTGCAAACTCCAAATGAAGTAAATTTGGTGGCATTGGAAAGAAGACTCAAAGACTTTTAATTTGGTAGGTCATGAGACATTTAATTCGTTATATGCTGGGAGATATGGTTATTTGAAGTTGTCCTTAACTTAAAACCGACAGTCACCTAAAATAAGGGTTGGACGGTCCGTACAAGGCCTCACAGGTTATATGGGGAACCGTCAAGGAGACCCCCTTACCTGACAGCCCTGGACGAATGGGCAGCCTCCCCTAAGTGGGTTGTCCATGACTTCACGGACCGTCTAAGGGTCTGTCCAGCTGGACTCCTCGCTTGGTGGCCCTTAAACACTTGGGCCACTACCCTAAATGGATTATGGTCCTTGTGTTGGAAAATTATATGCACAGTTGAATCATAACATAATCTTTAAAACTTATGTAAATAGTAAATAATCAATAACGTTTATCCTAGAACACATATAATATGCTAGAACATATAAACATACTGAAATTTAATTAATGAATTACCTCTTAAATCGTGAGCGGATACCTTCAAGTGAATCTCCAATATAGACAGACCTTTAAGCGAATCTACAAGATAGACAATAACTATGGTCTTCTACAGGGATCCCAACTTCATATCTGAACTCTCTCAATACTTGGATGGACTAGTATTGAATAGAAAACTAATCAATCTTCTAGGATTAGAAGAATCCCTAATTAAAGAGATTTCTTCCCAATCCAAAGAGGAGAACCAAAACACACGTTATTTTTCTTCGATAGAAAAATATAGGTTTAAACACTTGTGTAATTCCTTATGTTAAGATTTCATATACTAATCAATAAATTAAATTACTGATGAATTTAACTTAATGATTAATTTTCTTTAGAGCACTGCTTAACTTATTTCATGTGTCAGATTCATGAATCCACTTGCAAGGTTTAAAATGATGAAAACTTATAAGTTTCTCAAAAAGGCATATCAATTAATCGCTATAACGAGACATGAATTTTATCAACTAACTTATTATTTCACCAATATCTATTATTATTTTTGCTCCCAATATACACGCAAATGTACGTGGTCGCACAAGTAATATATATTCATTTAGAAACGAGATATCATTTCCAAGGGACTTATGATCAATATATATTCACTTAATTCTACAACTACAAGTAAAACGTAACCTATCAAAAATTGATGGTTTATAGGTAACTACTAATAATTTGCACTAAATGAAAGTCAACAATTGTGAACAACTTTGATGTAATGCTTCAAAAAAGTTAAAAGCAATTCCATGGCTGCATCATATAATGAATATCATGTATTATATTAGTGGCTTATAACTAACTTCAGTTGTCAAAGTTACTGATTTTAAAGGGTTGATAGTATGATCAGGGTTTTTCACCTCTCATCGCCAACCTCAGGTAGATATCTAACTACACCATTTAGCGAGGATAAATAGACTTGTCACGATCCAAAAATGAACGCGATGGAACTCAAATTTTCCCATCAAGACGAGTCATCCTAAAACACAACCATCCCGATAAAGTGCGAAAAATAAACTATAAATAAGAGTCTCATAGGAAATTCATAATCACTTAAATATACCCCAAAACTTAGTTGTCACGCTTACAGGCCTCTTAAGTATTAAGTTGAATGAAAGAAAAAATACAAGTGTCATATGACATTGTTTCTAGAGTAGAACAAGATTATAAATAGGAGTAAGAAGGTCTGCTGAGATGACAAACAATTACCTCATAAATCTCCAAGAACTCTCGCAAAAGAAAGTAATATATCACAAGGTTCGGGCTAGTAACCTACAAAAAAAATTGTGGAAGCAGGGGGTGAGTACCCAACCACACAGTACTCAACAAGTAAACCTCTAAGCACAAACTAAGGGAATAAAATACGGGCACTCCTACCACCCAACTGAACTTCCACAATTACAACCTGTACAAAAATCAACCAAACCTAACAATTCACAATTTACACGCACATAACTCAACAACAACTTCCCAACAATCACATATTATCAACCACAAGCTCAATTTTCATTAATTACAACCTCCACACCTATAACATGTATAAAATCGGCCCAACCTAATACTTCACAGTTACAAAGTACAAATCCCTACAACAACACTCTAACAATTGCATATTTTCAAAAACATGCTCAATATAAATCAGTCACAAGTTTCATAGAAAGACACTCATAAGATCAGCAACACACAAGATCAAGTTCATCAATAATAAAGAAGTGCAATGAAATGATATGCATTATCAAGTATAGTGATGCATGTCTGACCTAGTGATACACACCCGTTGTCTCTTAGTCCGGGACTCACAGAGACATATCTGTCTATGCATCCATCGTGAAGTGTGATACGATCCTCGATAATAGTAACCAATGCGGTGCGTGATACGTCCCTCGAAATATAATATCCATCGCAGCGCGCGATATGTTCCTCGAAATATAGTATTCATTGCAGCGCATGATACGTCCATCGAAATGGTTCATACTCTTAATTTCTTATTCTTTCTCAATTCACATAACATTTTTCACAATCATGTCTCAGAACAATGCAAATGACATGTTCATACAAATAGCGAGGAGACGACCATTTTCATAACATTGCACAATTCACAACAACACAATCATGATACAACATTAAAAATGATTCAACAAACCTTTCAAACCATTCTCAACATATCAAATGAGAGGAAACAATAACTTCAATTCCAGAGGAAGAGACTACAAGCCTGTTGAACAAGGAACAAGTTTCTATATCAGCAGAAACAGACTAGGTCCTCATAACAGCCCTTCAAGTGAAAGTTATGAGAGAAACAATTTAAATTTGTGGTAGAAATAACCATACCGCTCTTACGTGTTTTTACATGTGGGATTACTCTTGCCAAGCCACAGATGAGCTATCACAAGCATTGATTTCTACTAATCTACAAAATACTATTGATGGCACCTTATATGTGGACTCCGGAGCAAGTAACCATATGACCTATAACTCTTGTATCCTAACTGATCTTAAAGACTAAACGGAATAGATAAACTCATTGTTAGGAATGGATCTAAGTTAGACATAACACATGTTGGAAATATATCCAGAAAATGTATAAAGTCGAAAGAACTTCTTGTAGTTCATAAGATCAATAAAACTATTACTCTCAATTAGTAAGCTTGCAAAGAATGTGTTGTACTCTTGAATTTGATGAAACTAATTTTGTTGTAAAGGAAAAGAGGACAGGGACATTGCTGACCAAGGAAACTAAAAGGAATGGACTTTATGTTTTGGAAGATAACAATCTATGCTTTAACTACTGCACACGATTGGAATACATCAGACATCATGTGGTACACTAGATTAGGACACCCTAGTTTGAAGTCTCTAAAAGTTTTAAGAAGTAATAGTTGAATCAATATTAGTAGTTGGAATAAAATGCCTACTGTTTGTTCTAGTTGTCAGTTGGGAAAGAGTTATAAACTTTCTTTTGATTCGAGAATAAAATTGAGAAAGAACCTTTATTGGAAATTCATTGTGATTTATGGGGACCTGCTCATTTCGAATCCTCCTTACATATGAAATATTATGTAATTTTTGTTGATGATCACACAAGATATACGTGAATTTATCCACATAAAAAGAAATCTGAATTATTTGAGGTGTTACTAAAATTTAAGAAAATGGTGGAAAATAATTTCTAAAGAGATTAAGATTTTTCAGTGTGATGGAGGTGGTGAATTTTTCCAAACAAACTTCATCAAGCATTTGAAAGATTGTGGCATTGTGAGATATATTTCATGTCCTAATACACCTGAACAAAATGGAATTGCAAAGAGAAAACATAGGCATATTGTGGATATTGGCTTAACTCTACTACTTCATGCTAACCTGCTTTGTTTGTTCGGGTTGAAGCTTTCCTCACTGCAGTATTCCTCATCAATAGACTGTCTTCATCAGTCCTAAAGATAGTGACTCCATTTGTTTATTTGTATGGTGAACAACCCGATTACAACAGCCTAAAAGTGTTTGAGTGTGGATGTTTTTCATATATCAAGGGTAGTAACAAGTTCAGTCCAAAGACCTACCCTTGTGTTCATAGGGTATATAACAGCTTACACAAAGGATATAGATGATATCATCTCTCTACAAGGAGGGTTTACATATCCAGACATGTTGTGTTTGATAAAACACATTACCCTATGAGTCTCAAAAGTCATCTCAAACTAACATTGATGTCTACCTCATCTTGCTACTTTTGTTGAATCTTTTTCTAAACTACACACACATGATAATTTTGATTCAGGAGAAGTACAAAATGCTAGTCCACACATTAATAATGATAATGCTGCTACAACTCATATACTCCTTGACGATGAGAGAACTATTGATTTCCCAATCGAATGATCAGATGCTGAGGAACAAATTGAATGTGATCAGATGCTGACGATCCATACAACAATATTGAAATTCCAGCTGCATATTTTAAATATGCTAGTAGTAGTGAGGAACATGTTACACTTCTTGGTCCAGCCAATGAGCATTATCAAACAACTACCTTAGTTGACGTACTAGTTAATCTTCAATCTGACAATGTTACACCTCAGTCAACTATTTTGGTTGATGTACTAGTTGTGGTACTTGCTGCACCACAAGGGCATCATATGATCACCAGGCACAAGGCGAACGAACATCACTTGTCACTCATTGCTCGTAGCAGCACAAAACTTTTGAGAGAGTCAAATACTACTAATGAAGCACTAAGGTCACCTCATTGGCTTGTAGCAATGCATGAAGAAACTAAAATGTTTTACATACTAACAAAACATAGATTTTGGTGTACAAATATCCTATATAAATTTGATTGGCTCAAAATGGGTGTTCAAGACAAAATTAAAAGTTGATGGGACTGTAGA